CTAACTTTCATCTCAACAGTTTAAACTGCTCTAATCTATGAGACAAGTTTAAAGTTCCCACTTGCTTTAAAGCTAAAAATCAAACCTTTGGTTGCACATATGCCAGAGATTTCATAGTGTTGACAAAAATGTTAATAAGACCAACTGTTGTAACTACATACAAATTTGCTTGAAACTTCATTGTCACAAGATGCACAATATGGGATGTTTATTGCATCTGTCAGGTGCCGATGAAACAGGTGCTGTGACTAAGAGTGGGCAGGTTATAGGCCTTGATAATTAGGGCAAAATTGATTTTCTTTTAATAACGAGTTTCCAAATACAACTGGTTGCTAAATTGCCACTGTGCAAGTTAATAACAAAAAATGTCTCCAATAAAAGTATTATCATATACACCATTTTGTGATGGTCAATTTTATTAGGGTGATGAATAATTTATTAAGAAATGAATAATATGGTTGCGCTTTCAATGGAGAAATGGCAAGTTGAGTGGGGAACTGGAAATCATAGAAGAAAAATCACTTTGTACCCCAATTATTCATTTAAAATAATGTTCTATTATGTAATCCTCCAACCCATTAATTCACTTAGAAAATGAATAATTAGATTGAAGCCCAGGTACACATGAATTTTGCTGAGGCACAAATATTGCAAAATAATTCACACATTCTGCAAAGCCAATGTTTCTGAAGCATTTCACATATCAGATGCAAACCCTGTGCCAAAGAAATGACATCCAGCTAGCAAGTGATGGTAATCGTTAAATCAGCATAAAACAAAAGAGAATCAGTTCAGAGTTATGCACATGTGGTATTTCTTCAGAATGTCCAAGACCTAACAGGAGTTTGGTGTTGAATAAAACTACATTTCAGGATACTTGCCAGGTCCTAAGCAGAAGTGCTTGTCCGTCTATTACCCTTCCTGTCGAACCAGCTGGAGTTTATACACTATTTCTATCCACAGAACGCACTGAACAAACACTTGCATTATATTACTGATCCTATTCACTGTGCGATTGGATGCATCCAGTAACTTAAAGAAAATACAATTCAGTTTTTAAAATACTGTATCTCATTTTTCAATATAATTGCTAGAATTGGTTTGAATGAATCAATACCACTCTTTTTAGCTCTGTAGTAACCACTGAATTCTATTTCTAGTCATAATCTTTCTTATGTAAAGTTAGGGAGCTAAAATTAATGAAATCACGCCCTGCCCAAAATACTTGCAGATGGATAGTGTGGTTCAAATACAATACTCAACTTGTTTATTGCTTGTGTTACTAGAATCCTGCAGTTCAATATTTAGCTGTCTATTAAACCACGAATTGAGTTGGGGTATATATTTTGTTAGTTCTGAGCTCTGCTGGAGCAGATTTAACAAATGAACACTTGCTAGACTTGTAAGGATCTTACCTTTTCTGTTACTGCGTTAACATTTAACTTTTGGACAGTGCCTACGGGTCAAGAAAGATCAACAAGGTCATCCAACCAAGACAATTTGATCTTGCTATGGTTGTAAGCAACTGCAGAGGAAGCAAACAGTTGATCATACTCCTCAACAAACTTAGTGACTAGCAGTGAGGTTGAAGTTGAAAGAACTGACACAGCAATTGCTGAAAGACAGCTTTTACAAGCAGGGGAAAGGGTAGTAATTCCATTGAACATTAAAACTGGTGAATTTGTTGAAGCAGCTGCAGACAATGATTACACTGTTGAGGAAACGTTGGATTGGAAACAAATGACCCATGCCACAACCTTGGTGTTGTTTCAGAGTGGAACATTTGGCCAATATCCTTTTAAACTTGATTCCATAAAAAGTCAGTTGTCCATAAGATATTCAGGCGAGCAGCACAATCAACTAAAAGCTCATATAAAATTCTGGCATTTGGCAGTTACAGGCAGTGTGACCTTTAGCCAATCACTTTGTAGGACAGATAAACCAGCTAGCTATACTTTTGCTTTCTTCCTTCTTTGAATCCACTGAGCGTCAACTCATAGTGGACAGCAGATAAAAAACGATTCACTTTAGATTTGGGGGGGATAAATAGATCCAGGAATGCCTGTGCAGGGACTGCAATTTCGACTGCCACCATATAAATGTAGTTGACTGGCACCAAGAGCAGCATCTTTAATTCACCTTGTTGACTGGCAAATTAGCCTAACGGCAAGCATATCTATTTGCCAAAGCCCCTCATGTGAGGATCTCGATTGAGGAATTGGTGTTAGTGAGTAACCCTCTCTTGCAGCATTGGGCATGGGCATTGTCTTTACGTTTTTCAGTCTGGTTTGGATACTCTTAAGTATGGTGATGAATTTCCATGTGTCACCCAACTGTCCAAAAAAAACAGATGTAGTATTCCAAGATTACTTCACAGCAGTACAGATTAACAGCAAACACTGAGAATCATAGGACAACAATTTTTATTGTGATTTTTAGAAAGATGAAAAACAATGACAATGGCAGTGAGTAATGGAAAATCGCCCTGTGACATCTGATCCAAACTTGAAGCTCAGAGGCATAATCCTGACACAACAACAGCAAATCACATTTGTATAGTGCCTTTCACATTAGGAAGACAATCTTTAATGACACACAAAGAAACAATAAAACAGTAAACTAATGAACTCTTTGGCAGAGAACAAAAAACTGCAAAATGCTAATATATCGCCAGAAGAATCAAATTAAATAAATGCCCAGTTGGACATTACGCAAAGCTCCATAACAGATTTCAAAACTATGATTGTTCCTGTGGGTTAACCAGGCTTTATTTGGAATAACTGAAGAATGTTATAGTTTGCATCATACAAATAGACCATGTTTAGCATTTATTTTAACATTTATATGAATCCCACATACATAAGTAGTATGGCTAAAGTATATTTATACATTTCCTTCACAGGTGCATTTATCTAACATAAACTTTGTAAAACTCTGTTTTGTTTGTGCGCTATGCTACACAAGCCATCTGTTTCTTCTATCTGCAGCACTGAGGCACAGCTTTGTGCAGGTGGGTCAGGGCTTCTGGGCAGCACTTTGCACTGAGATACCACCAGCCAACACGCAGGAGCAAAGTGTACACCACTGCAACACTGCTTAACATTTACACTACCTCTCGCACTTCATTACAATTTTTGGTTAAATAATGAACAGACCATGTTACCACTTCCTGAGGGAATCTGAAAATTATAAATAAACTCTGAAACCCATAACATGGGAAAAAGAGATAATATTGACAAATCTAAAGGCCACTGCTTCACAATGGGTATTTCTACTACACCTGATTAAACATTTTAGTTCTGAGTCTCAGCACAGAAAGAAAGGCATTTAAAACCAACAAGCTGAAATTTATTGCAATGCAGTTCATAGGATTAGGCAAGTTTACTGAATATATTCTATTAAATTAAAGACTATCTTCAAGAGAAATATTAAGTGCACTTTTATGTTGAAAAAATGTATTAAACAGAGCAGCAACAGCACTTGTTCTATCTAGTTTCTTTTAATATAAATACAAGTACAAAATTCAAATCTTATACTGAAACATACTGATGTCTTTTCACCCAAGCACCCGCATAAACACACACTTTTAAATCCCATCGTCACTGCTATCCAGAATTAAGAGCACACGATGAAGCTGGAATATGCACTTCTCTGCAGCTGTCATCAATACTGTTCTGCCATCAAAAGAGGTGGAGTTCTTCTCCAGGGACATCAATTATTTTTCCTCCCATAAAGATGAGAGTAATTCACTTTGTACAGTAGCTCAGCTGAGAACTGACAAAACTCGACAAATGAGAACAAGTGTTTTTACACATCTGTTTCAATTCAAAACCATCAGTATCATCTTCGGATTCTTTATATCTAACATTATCAGCTCACCCATTTCAGACTAGCAGTGCTTCTCATTATTATAGCTATTCCGCAATAAAACATGTGCTTGGCCCATAAAATAGGAATATTTAGAAAAACTACAACATCAAAAGCTTTAATGTAATTTAACAAGTCTTCAACCCCCTCCACTTTATTATGTTCTGAGATTTGAATTGTTAAATTTAACTGTATTAAAATAACAAACAAGCACATTCAGTAAGTGATCAGCTTTGTGCCAGGCGATACCCAATTAAGTTTATCACAAGAATTTTAGAAATACATGCTGTCAAACAATACAGCTAATTGCTTTTATCGGACTAAAAAACACTTATTTTAAAAACAAAGCTTAAACTACTCAGATCATCTTTCACAACAATTAAAAGGAAAGAACCTTACTTTTCAAATTTCCATTTAAACTGGAAATATTTATTTCCCATTAATTGCATCCAATTGTGCTTTCAACAAAACAACTTTTTAACTAGCTAGCTTTAAGGGTTAAAATTTGGAATGCCTTTGAAAACCACACTGAAAATCAGGCAAATCACACACAGTAATCATAATAATATGGATAATAATCAGATCATGATTGTGGTCTCCTTTAATGGAAATGTTTAAAATGGATGCAATCAATCGAATCAATTAAAATTACCTAAATGAAAGTAAGGGTATATTTAACCACAGAGGTAGAACAATTATATATTCTAAGATACAAACTGCGAACATAGATAATAAGAATAATACTTGCATTTGGTTTTTCGTTTTTTATTTATATTATTGTGAAACATTTCTATTTGTAAGTTGTATTCTAAATGTAATACTTTATGTATAATTCAGAGAATTGCTCTAAAATCATTAATCACCATTATTAATGACCATCTAATGACTGTAACAAAAGCAGGTATACCTTTTTTTGGGGGAAAAGCTATGCTGGCAAATCTTCACCTTTGGACTTTAGTTTGCTCTTGAGCAAACCAGTGGCATTGGACTTTGAATATTTGGACTGTCCTAAGAAATGCAAACTGCACAGGGACATGCTGTGTCTTAAAATGTTTTCTTTAAGATGATCATTTTATTAAATATTTAGTCAAAATTCTGTTCAACAGAGTAATAAGCTTTTGATTAATGTGTACCTGTTATATTGTTCAACACTTCTTTGAGGTGGCTGAAGCTATTCAGTAGTGGATCTTGCTCTTCATCCTGAAGTAAACAAAATATAGAAATCGTAAAAATATGAAGTATGAGCAACCACACTGATTTAAGGAACGAGGATCTTGGTTATTTACTCTCCAGACACCGAGATCAAAGAGAGAAACATCATTGCATTATCCAACAAAACACAAACTGTTGACATAATATTATTTCAGAGAATTTAATTAACTGCTGATTCAGGAGAACAGTGTGATAATATTTTTATACCAGTCATACAAAACACACATACTCATTATTGTAGTATACTATTCTTTTGCTTGTGCAAAGTACAATAAATCCTAGTTCATAAGAAGGAATAATTACAACAGAATTATTCATCTTGATGGGTTTAACTGCTATCCAAACTACCCACTCAACTAATGCATTTTCAATCAGCATGTATGACTATAACAAAGACAATGAGATCGAAAACGCAATAATTTCTAACAGGTTTCTTCAATGAGGACTCTGATTTCGAATAGGATTTTTTTAAAAAGAGATCCTGCTAGATTGCTTCCAGTACTAATGCATTTTCAATCATCAAGAATCAAATAAGAGTTCAATCATTTCTATGGTACGTGATGAACTTACATTCACAAGGAATTGGATTGTCCACAGCGTTTGCTATCTCCTGAGTCCCTGTCCCATCCCCGCGGTCCCTCACCCCCATTTTCTCTTGCCCGGCTCCACTGGCTCCCCATCCCCCAGCAGATCAAGTTCAGGATATTTGTCCTCACTCTTAAATCACTTAATGGTCTCGCCCCTACCCTATCTCTGCGACATCCTCAAACTCCACCACTCGCCATCCGCTTGGCAGGCACTGGCCTGTTTCACGACACACGACCCTGACCCACACCACTACCTGCGGTCAGATTTTCAGCCTATTTGCCCTCGCTTTCTGGAACTCCAAACCCTCAAATGTCCAGAGCCTTGGGACACCCTCCAGACACGAAAGGAGCTGTATAAATGCAATTTATGTGTTCTTACTAGAGAAGAAACTTCTTGTTGTTGAGATGTTTAAGAGGGGGGCTAATAGAGGTTTAAACTTATAAAAGGATTGGATAAGAACAGAATAAATAATTTCCAAAGGTTGAGGAGTCCACAATACAATTCAAAATTACATTTGTGTAGCGCCTTTTACGTCGGGGGATGTCCCTTGGCGCTGGACAGTCAGGGATTTGGATCCCAAGTGGGGAAAGGGACCACAACCAAGGAACATCAATATAAGCTAGCAACAAGGGGATCTAAAAAAGAATTTAGGAGTACTTAATGCAGAGGGTAGTGATATTGTGGAACTCACTGCCTGACACAGTGGGTAAATCAGATAGTATGGATGCAGTCAAGAGGATGCTAGACAACAACAACAAGATTGCATTTATAGAGTGCCTTTCACGTCGGGAGGACGTCCCAAGGCGCTGGACAGTTGGGTTGGAACCCGAGCAGGGGGGAAATGGTCAGGGTGAGGGGAGGGAAGGAGCGAGGAGGGGGTAGAGAGTCTAGAGGGGAGATGAAGGCACGGTTGAAGAGAAAGGTCTTGAGACCGGCCTTGAAGGAGGAAAGGGAGGAAGCAAGGCGAAGGCACTGGGGGATGGAGTTCCAGAGCCTGGGGGCTGAGAGGTTGAAGGCCCGGCTACCGATGGTAGGGCGGTAGGGCGATGTGGAGTAAACCGGAGCCAGAGGAACGGAGGGTATGGGCAGTTAAGTAGGGGGATAGTAGGTCGGAGAGGTAGGAGGGAGCAAGGCCGTGAATGGCCTTGGAGGTGAGGATGAGGATCTTGAATTTGATCCTCTGGGGGATGGGAAGCCAGTGGACGCGATCGAGGGAGACATTCACATAAAGGGAAAGGGGAACAGAAGGGTAATGGAGGCAGTAAGGAATGGATGAAGACTCGTGTGGAGTATAAATACCAGCACGGACTGGTTGTTTTTGTGCTCTACATTGTTTGTAAATCTTTACAATTTTATTTGTATCCACTTCATACCATCATTTTTAATTCCAAATCTGTGTTGCTCTGATTTTAAATACATTAATCTAAGAAACCTGGTCCACTAAATCTCTAATTTGAACTTGGAGGCCCAAAGTTTAACCTGCCAGTTGACAACACCATATGCACCATTGTACATCATATCATCATGGTAACATAATATTTACCCAACAGCACAAATTTGGCCCATCAGATTGAGAAATGATGCACCAGTAATCACTTGTTTTAAGGTTTCCAAAGGTTGACAGGTCCACAACAAAGGAACATCAGTATAAGATAGCGACTAGGGGATCTAAAAGAGAATTTAGGAGGACCTACTGCAAGCAAAGGGTCGATTTCAAGATCCTCACACGTGTTTTCAAATCCTTTTATGCCCTGGCATCTCCCTACCTCTCCGAGCTGCTTAGCCCCCAACCCACTACCCGCTGCCTCCGTTCGACTGACTCTGGCTTTGGGTGCTTGGAAACTAGGTGGGTAAAGGGTTAAGAAAGTAACGGTGAGTTTCATGCAGATATGGGTAGAGAAGGATAAAGGAAAAACTGGGACTTCGTGCAAAGAAGGGGCGGTTCAATGAGGGAAAGAGTGCGTGGGGTGGAGGAGTCAAGGAAGAAGCAGCAGCAAGGTGGATTTTTTCAATTTTTGTCACAAAGTCAATATGTGTAGTTGAAGATATTAAGCTAATTCAAGACCCTCCTCTTCGACCGTGCTTTCACCCTGCTTTCCCCCCTCCTGCCTACCACTCTCCCCGATCCCGAGTTCAGTCCGAAACTCTGATTGTCCAGGGCCTTGGGATGCTCTTCCAACGTGAAAGGCACTATACAAATATAATTTTGTTGTTGTTGTTAAAGACAAGATTGCATTTTGATGTAGAGTTTGATGTAGAGTATTCGCAGGGTGGCATGATTTACTTCTGGGTACCTATGCAAACACAGTTTGAGCCTCATCCCATAAGTAAACAGACCATTTTAATTAAACACATTCATGAATCAAATGATTAAGCAAATTAAGATTTTGCCATAAAAGAGAATAATGAGGGTTTATTTTATCTCACAAAGACAACAGTAGATGTAACTTATTATCTATCCTGGGATGGTTCAAATACTAAGTGCTATTGTAAAAAGGAACAAAAATGGGTGGTCAAAATTTCCACCGAGGCAATGTGACAAGCAAGTACCTGGTACGTAACAGGTACATCACAGTAACACTACTATGACATACCTGGTACAGCCTTGCTGTTTTGATGTCCCGCAGTAATACAGTCTGCAGCAACAAAAGAAACAGAAAACAAAGCAATAAAAAATAAAAAAAACAAGTTGATTGCAGTCGGACAGAACAATGGTATCTTCTGATACATTTTGCTAGCTTGACATATAGATCAAGGAGGCTGATCTGAAATGTCAGGATTTAACTGGCATATGTTAGGAATGACCAAACATGAAAACCTTTTGAAAAGAATCTTCATTCAATTAGAGTTTGCCTTCATATGAAGAAATAATTAAAATATTCATTTGCTAAAGACTAACCTCTGTCCACCCTAATCCGTATTTCCACTCGTATAATGACATATACATATTACAAGATCAAATCACTCTCAGGATAGGCTAATTGACCCATCATATCTACTTTCCAGTCTCACAACTTGATCTACCCATTCTAAACCCATTGCCCTGTTTTCACTTGCACTTTTGGAGAATCAAACTCCATTTAATACAATAAATGTACGAGAACACTAAAAAGTCTGATATTTACTTTATAAAGGGGAATGGAAAAGCAGAATATATAATGCTGAACGTTGTTACAATGTTTATCAGTAATCCTCGAGTTTCTATGCCCATTAATTTACTTCCTTAACAGACACTATGACATATCATTAAGAATATATTGGAAAGAGTGAACCAGAAAGGGCGGGGGGGAAATCACATCTCAGGGTCCATTTGGCAAGAAATATTAATGAGTAGTGAAATTCCAGTGTTCTATAGAATGACTGGCGAAGGAGGAGCCATTTCACTCAGTTCCTGAAGTAGGCACGAACTTGGGCGCTGGCACACATCTGTGGCAACTCAAGAGGAATATTTTTGTTCCACTGGTGCAGAATTCAACCCAAATCAGATTTTCCTGAGCAGTTTAGATCTGTTACTAACCTGATATGTCCCAGGGTACACTTATGCAGGAGATTCCTACTCAGGATTACTTTTCAAGATCAACATTTTCAAATCCTTCCAGACAGGCTAGCTCCACTGTGTCTCCAACCCTACATCCCAGGCCACAGTTTTTTGATAACAGAAAACTGATCATCACATACTCCCACCGATTAATCATCGAAGGCCAAGTTTTCAGTTACCGTGGCTCTCCTCTGCAATTCCCTTCCAAAACCACTTTCCCTCATTTGTTCTCTCCTTGCTTCAAATGACAGTGTCTTGGGCTATCTCTAAACTGCTCTAACTTCCTGTTTGTGACCATTGCTCCCACTGTTAAGTACTGAGACTTTTTACATGACGATCAATATACAAGTTGTAAGTTGTTGCAGTTGCTTCCTATTTCCAGAGAGGACTTGGCCAAATCCCAACAACATTTGGCAAAAATCATGTCATGCCATTCCTTCAATGACATTTTGAGACGTCTAGAAGACGTGAGAAGCACTATATCAAAATGCAAGATTATATATATGTATATATATATATTTAGGACAGTTTCTACGCCATACACTCCAGCCCCTCTTTCTCTCAAGTATCACGTGAAGTCAACTTATGTACATCTGTCACTGTTCTTCCGGGATTTGGGTCTCTTGCCTGATGAAAACCAAGGTAACACTGTACACACTTTGGTCCGCAACTATCAAGGTGTCATATCCTGAAACACAATGTTTCAAAAGTGGATCAATTCTTGGATAGTTTCATGTTGCAGATGCCATGACAATAACACAAGGTATGTGTGTAGTCTCTCTGCTCATCCCACAACAGGCTTAAAAACAAGAGCTTGGTTTATGATGAAATGTGTGGCTGAACCCAAATCATGGCACAACATAGCAAAGCACTATTCCTGATGAAAGGTTGATACAATATCATTATACCAAATCAAGAGCTTAAAAGAGAACTGAGTCAGCCATACCCTGAGATTGTGGCTTGACAATTGTAGCTGCAGTAAATAGCTGGGGAGGTGGATAGAGCCAGAGGTGAAGAGGTGCTGCTATGAGTCAGGAGTCCTGTAGCTCAGTGGTTAGAGCACTCGCCTTGCAAGCAAGACACCTGGATTCAATTCCAGGGAGGCGAAACCTTGGGCAAGTTTCCTTACTCCACACACCTAATAATAATCCCTCCAAAAACAAAACAATAATAAATCGGTCATTTTCAATCCACGACTGTTTGTGGGACACTGCTGTCCGCAATTGGCTACTGCATTTCGCCCACAAATATACAGTCAATTCACTTTACAGTATATTCTGAAGCGCTTTGAGACGTCTAGAATACGTGAAAAGAGCTACATCAAATGCAAGGATTATTATTATTATTGGAAGTGATAGTGAATAGGCAGACAATGTGGATGGGGGGGAAGGAAAATAAAACAATCAATACTGTAATTATTTCAATAGCCTTGGACTTAATCATGACTCCAAAACCACAAAAAATCATTGGTTTGTATATAGCATCTTATCACACTGAAACATACTAAAGCAATTCAGAGAATATGTTAAATTATTGTAACTGTGTATTGTAAGCAATGTGCCCTCCATGGTCTTGCTCCCTCCTACCTCTGCGACCTCCTAACCCCCTACCATCCTGTTCAGTCCCTCCATTCAGTGGGCTCTGGCCTGCTTCACGTCCCCCACCTTGCTCGTTCCACTATTAGCGGGCGGGCCTTCCGCCCCTCCGACTCCACCTTCTGGAACTCCATCTCGCAGTCCCTCCATCGTGTCCCCTCCCCTGCCACCTTCAAGATCTATCTCAAGACTCTCCTCTTCGACCGTGCTTTCGATCTCCATGCTTGCCCCCCGCCCTCCACCACCCTAGCTCGGATCTGTAACTCTGCCTGTCCAGTGCCTTGGGACGTCCTCCTGACTGAAAGGCGCTTTACAAATAGAATTTTGTTGTTGTTTTTGCCACAAACAGCTGTGAAATTAATTTTAAAAAATTATTGGGCAGGACTTTGAAAAGCTTTTTTCTCTTTTTGAACAGTGTCATGCGATCTCTAACATGCACCTCAGCAGGCAGACTAGACCTTGGTTTAATGTCTTATCCGAAGGATGGCAGCTTCAACAATGCAGCTCTCCCCAGTATTGGAATTTTAGCATAGGCTATGTGCTAAAAGTCCCTAATTGGGGCCTGACCTGAGTGCCCCTGTTCTTGAGGCAAAAAAAATCAGTGACAGCTACTGTTCTTCATCACCAACTCGTGTACCGTGCTGTAAAATGCAAATGTTTTGATGTTCAGGGAGAACAGGATTGAGCTCAACTGTGATATCTCTCATAGTTCTCAAGTTCACATATGAATAGTATAGGTCCCAAGTTTTGAATGCTAGCTCATGAAGAAAACTTACCAAAGGTGTATGTGTGCTCCATCTTGAATTTCTCTTTATAGCACCAACAACTGTATTTATTTCACCCTGCACAATATAAATACCTTTGTCGATCATGGTGAAGAAGCTGAAAGATGAAGGAAAGAAGGTTATTTAGAAAAATAATTCCACAAAACCTAACCAAAAAAAAGAAACATTGCTTTTGATATGGGGGAGGGGGGTTAAGTCTGACAACAGAACAGTTCTATAAAGAAAACAATAATGCACTATCTATAAATAATGTTTGAAAGTGAAAATGCACTCTTTGGATTAGGATAACTGTGTAAGCTTCCAAAGCTTCATTCACAATATATATAATGCCACATTCAAGAGGTTTATCTGACAACTGTCTTGTAATACACTCCTGGCTTTTATTTACTCTCTATTATCAGTATTCAGTTGGTGCAATTCAATCACAATTATCTCACAATAACAACAACTTGGATTTATATAGCGCCCTCCATGCCGGACGGTGTCTCAGAGCGCTCTCAGCAGGACCTCAGAAGACAGTTTGTGGAACTCAGTGCAACATTTGGTCATCTAATGTTTAGTCATTCTATTAATTAGAGTTTTTTTTTCCCTCGACACCCAAATATGACATTTTATAGACTTAAAGCCCAAAACAAAATCTGCAGTGCCAGCTGGTTATTGCTACCTGCATTTGGCTTTGTGAAAATTTGAACACAGATTTTGGTTTCCGCCAATGAAGGGGACAAAAAGGTGGTTTCTGAAGCAGTTCATAGTTTAAATGGCTGAGTGTCTAAATCCTAAGCAGGAATATATAAGTTCAGACCTATGCACCCAAATAGTGTCATCCAGAAGCAAAGTCATCTACTTCAACAGTAAAGATACATAAAAATATTATCTGAAAATATTATTTTCTTGAGAGCAGACAGAATTCAAATTCACTTGTTACCACTGACTGTCACTAGTAAAAGAGAATACAGTAGGTGTGTTTCTAAAAGATTTGACACCTGATCTCCAGCAATTGGTTGCCGCGTTTCGCCCACAAAATGCACAGTCAATTCACTTTATAGTATATTCTGTAAAGCGCTTTGAGATGTCTCGAAGACGTGATAAGGCGCGATATCAAACGCAAGGATAATAATAATGGCAATTCATTATTTTGGAAGTCATTTTGTCTCAGAAAACAACAGTAAACGACAATCAGGAAATTGCAAAAATGTGAAACTGATTCTTAGCAAATAAAGATAACATACTAAATATGTATCTTGCGTCTTTCGTATCAGGGGAACCTCTCAAAGCACTTTACAGGATTTACTGTAAAGTGTAACAGGTTTGTATTTTTGAAGGTGAATGCAGCAACCAATTTGCGCATTGCATTATCGCACAAACAGCTATGAGGTGAATGATAAATTTTATGTGGGGGATTGTTGACTCCATGCGAAAATCCCTTCTTTTTTCAAACAGTACCATGAGATATTTAAGGTAGATGGGTCCTCAGTTTAACCTCCTATTCAAACAACAACACTTTCAACAATACAGGGCTCCCCAAGCATCGAATAGAAGTGCTAGCCTGGACTGAGTTCAAAGTCCTGATGTGGGGCTTGAACCCACAAACTTCTGACTCAGAGGCAAGTGTGCTACCAATTAGAATGCTACCAATTAGAATGCTACCAGCAGAGCTAACATCTGTATTTTCGAGAGCACCAAAAAAGGGATACTCAATCATTGCTGACCAACAAATGTTACCTGATATTCAAATAATAGTCACTGGATAAATATCGGAATGGAATTGATGGGTATTAAGGAAGAATGATCAAAAACGCTGTACAAAATACAGAGTTCTGAACAATGAAAACATCACAGAAATTAGCTGGAAATATTTGTCAGGGAAACATTTTGCATAGCTTTTCCTCAGGTCAAACATGAGATAAATGATGCATAGTCTGAACAAAGCAGGCGTGATTGACCTGTTCATGTTTTTTTTCTATATTTTTCTTCTCTTCCCCATCCCATTAAGTTTCCTATTCCTTACCATGAACGCAATTTGTGAAGATCTTCACTGCAATAAAAATGGAATACAATTCAACAAATCCATACATGTTCAGACTTTAGTTCAAGGTTTACTGAATTTTAAAAGTAATTTAGTGACAACTGAATATTCACAAATACATAAAAAATGCAGTACATCCCTTTCAAAAATGTTCCACTGCTAAGATCAATGTGGAGTACATTTCCAAATATTGTTTTCATAACATCTGTCAACAGCAAGAGACCTTCTTTAATAATTAATACATATAATATGCTATATTATATAGCTCAGGGCAAGTTAGTTGTTTCAAAATCAATGGTGGAAAATAGTGAACTTCTCTATTTACTTCTCAAGCGAACACTTTCTCAAACTGAAAATTGTATGGGCTGTCATATTCTATAACATGCATAAGGGTGGTCCAACTTTTTGGCTGTTGCGGGCCGGATGCCTGATTTGAGAAATGTCCATGGGCCACATAAGCAATTTTTATGATTTCCTTCTGGAAACATAACAACATTTACAAAGGACCTTTTCCATCCTGGAAGGACATCTCAAAACGCTCGACAGTGCCAGCTGGGTACCTGAGCTAGGGATGGGAAAGGGAGGTGGAATGGGGAGGGGAAAAGATGTCCGAAAGCATGGCCAAAGAGTTAAGTCTTGACGTGCCTTCAAAGAGGGGAAGAAGGAAATGAGTCGCAGGAACTCCAGGAATGGAGCTCCAGAAAAAGGGAGGAAAAATGGCGATGGTGGGACAGATGGGGTGAGGGGACAAGAAGCAAGCTGGTGTTTGCTGGCTAAAGGGAACAGCTGCGTCGGTAGATTGCAGAGGTAGGGTGGGAGGAATGAAGGACATAGAGGAGTTTCTCACTATGGAAAGAGAGCTTACTGTGAGGAAACTGCACCGCATGGTATGGCGATCCATGTCTCTCCGCTGCTGTTGGGTAGCAAAGAGGAAAATTAACCTTGTTCCAATCCCTAATCATAATGCAATAACTCCTACTGGAAAGTGCGCATTTGTGGATATCAGATGAGGAGACGTTTGGACTCAGCTGTGATACCACCCTCATGATCAACTAGTCTGCTGGCACTCACTATCTAAAAACTCACATTTAGTAGGGTGACCAATTCCCATGGAATCATACCTGAGCATGATTCAATGTTTGCAGGAAAGAACACAAAAATCCTACTGAAAATAGAATACAATTTCTCACAAAAAAACTGACTCACCAAAACAGGACACAACCTCAGGGTCAGTTCAATATTCAGCTGGGCTTCCTCCCTCACATTCGATCTCTGACCAAGACAGCTTTTTCTCACCTCCGCCACACTGCTAGCCTCCACTCGCACCTTATAGCAAATGCCACTGAAATGCATGCCCTTGTCATTAATCAAATGCACTCTTCACTCATCTCCTCAGTTCTACCATCCACAAGATCCAGCTAATCCAAAGCTCTAACTCGTATCCTCACCCATAATCAAATTCCGCACCCCCTTCATCCCAGGCTTCACTGGCTCTGGACGGCTCGACTTCTCCTTCGTATATAAATCCCTAAATGCCCTAGAACTTCCTTACCTCACTGATCTACTGGTACCCGACTCCTCTACTCACCCCCTTCACTCAGTTAACCCCACCTATGGTAAACCTCTTCCTCCTTCTTCTTCCTTACTGTGCAGTACTCTGAGGCGTTATCCTAATGAAGGGCGTTATATAAATGAAAGTTGTTTCAAAGAATAAGCTTCAAGAAACAATAAAAAATAAATTCAACAATTAAATTAAAACTATAGACATGCAACTAATATTAAATATATGAGAAATACTTTTCCATCAAAAATGAAAGTGAGATACTATACAAATTTAGCTCAACAGAATTTCCGCAGTAAACTAACAAGACTGGTATTATATGTTTGTTGTACACTTGTTAGTTAAATGAGTTTGTTTTCAAACAACATTCACATTTGGCTTCATTGTTACTATACTATGCAATAAAATTCAAAGGGTGTTCATGTAATTTACAACTTGTTTTAAAATAAAATTGACAAAAACATGAAAACACTGGGTAGATGGTTCTCATCACAACATTGCTGTCAGTAAACAAACAATGTAACAAAATAATGAAGTTGTTCTCCCCTGGAAAATCACTAATTTCCGAGACAGCCCTTTTCTGTCATCGTGCGAACTTTGTAAAAGAGTTTGTGATCCTCCAGGAACCCAGGAAAACCACCATAATATGCAAACATGACAATGTTGTTTGTAACAGCCATTTGACACCAAATAACCAAACCCCCGGTGTAGGTATGAATGTCACTCTTACGCCTAATCTTTAACGCGCTTTGGGCAGTATTTTAAGCCTTTATCAGTGGCGAATAATAAATAAGGCGTTGATCAGTGACAGGCCTTGGCAACACTTCCACTCCCGTTTTCGCCACGTATCCTGCGCAACACGGAGGCCATTAGGGCAGCTCAACCTGGATCCGGAGGTAGGCCTGGAGAGTGGAAGGGGGCATCTCACCCTCCCCCCTAAACCAAGCCATTTGTTTTAGTAGGAACAGGAATTGCTGACCTACCCCCAGAGACTTCCAACAAATCCAAAATGGCGGCCTGGAAACCCACAGCAGCTGAAGGGAAACGGTCAACGGTAATAAAGCTCGTCAGTGGTGTGTTTTAACAGAACCAACGGGCGGCTGCGTGTTGAAGCTACATCTCACTCTCACCGCCGAATCGTGTGTTTTTTTAACCATAAAAGAAACGATCGTTTTTTTTAAAAAAAAGGCGATTGGAGTGAGCGGTCGGGGGGGGGGGTTCGTCCCCTCGGAACCGGCTTTCGGTGTCAACGCTCCTCTCACTGACGTGGTACGCGAGCGGGGGCTGTGCGTCCAACCTAACCTGCTGTCAACGACGCCTCGGATTGACGGCTTGTCTGGCCAATCGACGACCGCGCTGGGGGGCTGGGCGGACGCGACGGCGACGCACCAGAGCCAATAGGAGGAGCCAGAAGCGGGAGTGGGGGGGCGGGGGGCGGAATCCATCGCAGTCAAGTTAGGTCGAACCGGCGGGGCCTTTCGCAAAGGCTGCCGGGAATGTGATGCTGTGATTTCCTTAAACACGGTCCTGGCGGCGGCGGCGCTCCGCTCATCCGCGCTTTTGACACATTGCCATTTGCTTCGGATTTCTCAGCTCCGCTCGCGGCGATTCCCGGAAGCTCGAAGCACCCGCTCCGTTCAGATATAGCGAGAGATGTCCACTCTCGAAAAAGTGCCGTCTTTGGCCCTCGACGCGTCTGTGTGTGTCTGTGTGTGTGTGGGGGTGTCTGTGTGGGGGGGTCTGTGTGTGGGGGTCTGTGTGTGGGGGTCTGTGTGTGGGGGGGTGTCTGTTTGGGTGTCTGTGTGGGTGTGTGTGTGTGGGGGGGGTCTGTGTGGGTGCGGGGGTCTGTGTGTGGGTGCGGGGGTCTGTGTGTGGGTGCGGGGGTCTGTGTGTGTGTGGGGGGGGGTGTGTGTGGGGGGGGGTGTGTGTGGGGGGAGGTGTGTGTGTGGGGGGGAGGTGTGTGTGTGGGGGGGGGTCTGTGTGTGTGTGGGTGCGGGGGGGTGTTCTGTGTGTGTGTGTGTGTGGGGGGGGGTGTGTGTGGGGTCTGTGTGTGGGGGTCTGTGTGTGGGGGGGTGTCTGTTTGGGTGTCTGTGTGGGTGTGTGTGTGTGGGGGGGGTCTGTGTGGGTGCGGGGGTCTGTGTGTGGGTGCGGGGGTCTGTGTGTGGGTGCGGGGGTCTGTGTGTGTGTGGGGGGGGTGTGTGTGGGGGGGGTGTGTGTGTGGGGGGGAGGTGTGTGTGTGGGGGGGAGGTGTGTGTGTGGGGGGGGGTCTGTGTGTGTGTGGGTGCGGGGGGGGTGTTCTGTGTGTGTGTGTGTGTGGGGGGGGTGTGTGTGGGGGGGTGTCTGTTTGGGTGTCTGTGTGGGGGGGGGGGGTGTGGGGTGGGGTCTGTGTGTGTGTGGGTGCGGGGGGGGTGTTCTCTGTGTGTGTGTGTGTGTGGGGGGGGGGTGTGGGGGGGGGTCTGTGTGTGTGGGGGGGGTGTTCTCTGTGTGTGTGGGTGTGGGGGGGTGTGTGTGTGGGGGGGGGGGTGTGGGGGGGGGTCTGTGTGTGTGTGGGGGGGTGTTCTCTGTGTGTGTGGGAGGGGTGGTGTACACGTTGTGCCTTTTTGGCGATCCTGTCCTGGCAGTGAACTCGCAGCAGATGTACCGTGAACCCTGAACTTTGTGCAATACATAGCGACATTTAAAAAAGAGAATGACGTGGCACCCACCCCCGCACCAGAGAGAGAGAGAGAGAGAAAAAAAGCTTATATTTTTTCTTTCATAATGCGTTTAAACCGACGGTGATAGCGGGAAAACAGCAAAAGGTGCGCTCACCGTCATATTAAAATAATGTAAGGCATATGATCCCAGGAATCCTATTACTGTCTATGCAACAACAACAACAAGGCAGCAAAAGAGAAGGAATGGGTTTGCTGATAACCAGCCCCATCCAGTGCCAAATACGCAAATCTGGCGCAAATGTGAAACCTGAAAACAGTTCGATCACATCACAAGGTATTTGCGTGAATCAGGAGCGAATTTTTGAAAGGTCGAGGTCGTAAACTACCATCGCTGGGAGTCACTAAACATTTTTCACAGTTGATGCACGTTTCAGGTCCCCAAAAACCGAGCAAACCATGCGAATAAAAATAAGAAGCAGAATAAGTCAAATCCGCATGGACAGAACTCTCCCCGTTCTCGGAAAAAGGCTCAATAAATGTGTCAGGAAGCTGCCGTCTGAGGGACAACTTAATCAACTGAGGCAGAACCCTCGCTCGTCGGCTGCAATTGTAAAATGAGGAATGCGAAAATGTATTAAACGTCACACAAACCCTTCAGAGCAAATGATGTGATATGTATTTCACGAGACGCGAACCGGTTAGCGTGGAGGCAGATTGCAGTCGGTCGCTCGAAAGGTTCACAGTGCAATGAGGTAGTTGCGGAAGTCCGGGGAAATAGTCACAGCGGTATTTCTTTTAAAGGTTCTGAATTCGTTAATTGTCAACTTTCAGTCCGCGCTGTGTGTTTGTGCATTTGGCCAATCCAGTCTTCCTAAGCGGTTCTGAATGAAACGAGGGGGTTGGGACATCACAGTGCCTCCGAGTGGGCAGGCCTTCTGTGCACAGAGCGGTCGCGTCGTTTCGTAGCTGCCGATGATGTTGGCATAAAATCAATCCTTCCAGCAAATGGGATCCCACAGTCTGCTTTTCAGCGAGACTCTCCGTGCAACTGCAAAGACCTGGCCGCGAGTTTTTTTTCCGAGGAGCTCTAATTTTGACAGCTATAGGAGCCACTAATCTTCGGTAAACTTATCCCGTCCCCGGATTTATTCATTTAAAGAGGGATTTTGCTGTAAGTGATGGCAGTATCGACTGTTTCCATTGATAAACGTTTCAGAAGCGCGGGTTTGTGTGTTTTTTTTTTAAAGTTACTGCTCGTAATTATTGCGTCCGATAACATTTCTTGATTAAAAACGCAGTCCACATTTCTATTTTTAATCGTTCGATTATCTGTGCTTTCGAATAAGAAGTTTCCGAAAAATACCAGAAAAAAAATGCGGTGCCGCTAATCTTCCGTGAAGCATCGCAACGTGTGATTTATGTAACCTGTGTACGGTTTAACATTTTGCTGTGTGTTTGAATTCACGGTTTGTTGCATTGTTTTCCGAACTTTTTGAAGTGAGACCCTATTAGCACTGCAATCCAACAGGACTGGGATTGTCCATGATTCACAACGTTAAACCTCATGTGCCTGAATGACCTCTCCCCTTCTGTTCAGATTATGCTTGGTATTAAAGGCTTGCTAACAGGGGGATATTTTGAGAATGATTAATCTGCCGGGATAGTTTCCCCATTTAGACTGCAGGTGAATTTACTTCTTTTGGCAAGCGTGTGGAATTTGAGCAAATATTCCCAAATGGATTACGTTTGTTTTCTGTGTGCAAAAAAAATTCCTGCCTTTTATTGCTTGAATGTTGGCAAGGCCACGGCGATTGGTTCCGCGTGTCAGGTCTAATACCTTTTTGCAAAATATATGGTGGCAGCAGGAAGGAAACGATTTTACGAACTTCGTACAATTATTCGACTACTTAACAAGGAACAGATTTGAAACTAGAGCTCCCATTTTCAGCTATTTAAAAATGAAGGCAGGGTAACTGCAAGAGCTCCTTCCAAGTATTGTACTGCACAAAACTTAACCAATTTAAAATGTATTTCAAAATGTATCGACAGTGCGACAGTAAAACACAGGTCTAAATCACGAGAACCTGTTGGTAAGCACCATAACATGAAAAAACGCCTTTTGTAATAAAACCTAACCATGATTTTTTTTCAATAATTTGCTTTTAAATCACAAATGTAACCTTTAAGCTTTTGTGAATTTCAAAGACCGCCAGTGTACAAGTGACATGTTCTTGAAATTGTACCAACTTGTTTCTAACCAAGAAGGCATCTACATACAATCTGCCATCTGAACACGTATTGTTCAAGAATCCTAGAATCAGAAATGCATTGCTGTTCAGGTACGAGCCCACCGGAGTCTTAAAAAAAATGCAAACGTCCCGAAGTGAAAAATGAAACCTTTCTGCAAGATATGTCTTTTGCCTCGTCTATCAAAAACTAATTAAAAACAAAAAGACGTCAAAACGTCTTTTTTTAAAAAAAGATGGTTCGAAACCGACGTAACATTTCCAACAATGTCAAGAGCACTTTAAAATATTTTTGCATTCCTCCAAGTAATTAATTTGCTGGGGTGTAAAGGATACTGCACTCGCATTATTGAAGGTTACCAGCAAGTACTTTACGCTTTATGTGAACGTGCCATGGGAAAGGGTGATACATGTAAGTAGAAGTAGGCTTGGTTTCTGATATCCTAAAATCCAGTCTGTGTAGGCCGGAGAAAGAATAAGTGCCTCTCAAAAATATTCGCTCTCTATAGCCGGGCAATGAACAAAAGAAATCTTTCACGATTGTGCCGTTGGTTTGGGTGGGAAATTGATGGCTGGCAGGTGCACCATGGTCACAGGAGACTCTGTATAAGACTCACAAACTTTCAGTCTGTTTGCTGCGCGGGGGATCATTCTAGTTGGAGAAAGCACTGGAGATCAACGGACATTTGAGTGTTCAGAGTCAAGGAGAAAGCCTCTTTAAATAAATATGATGAGTAATTAACAGTGAAACGATTATACAGAGAGAATAATAGGTTTAACGGGAACAGTATAAATCGTTTTCAGTTCAGAGTTTCACCGCCTTGCGAGCAGAGCTGGTAAGTAATTTAGGAGAAATTACTTGCACTGTATGTACAAGCTGTTGGATTTAAAACGGATTGAGGCAAGTGTGCATTTGCCAGTGGTTTTAAAAAGCGGGGAGTTAAAACAGCGAAGCCATTGTATGTGTGACTTATATTTGCTGGAGGCGTTGTTTAAGAATAATATTTCTATCTCATATAAGTTTGCACAAGCGAACTTCAACATGACTTACTAGAGAACGTGTATACGAGGTACGTATTTCCAAAAATGTAAATGTAACGGCCCCGCAACGGAATATATTGACCCTTCTTAATCCACGAAGAATACTAAATGTACAAAAAAAACGTTCCATTGTTCAGGTTGATAACAGACTGGAGGAATGATAGCTGAACACCTAATAATTTTGCACTAAATATATCTAATGCTTCCAGAAACAGATTTGAAAATGTCATTGAAATAATGCAATATTGTTTTTGAATATCGCACTTGAGTCTTTGCTAGGTTTCTACATTTCCGTAGATTTAAACTGACAAGACAGAATTTCTCTACTTAAAACTCTCGGGATTTTATAATTTTGCGGTAAAACAGGCCACGCTCTGTTTCATTATTTCTCTTTACTGATACATTTTGATTTTAAACGTTGACAGATACAAAACGCACGGGACAATCTGAAAATATCCATTTATAAGTGGAATCATAGATGGCGCTGAACATTATATAACGCCGGATGGTTGATTGGCAATAGAACACAAACGTTTTATTGATACCATATTGATTAATTTGGAAAAAAAAAGCATTGACGTTTTTCGGCTGTTGATTTTGATTGTGGAACCCAATCTTTGTGTAGTTCCTTCTTCAAAGGCATCAGTTTTCAGATAATCCTTAGCGTTTGTTTCAAGCGTCTACACGCGCTCAGAGCAAGATTACCAACAGAACGCAAATTTGCTTTACTGATAACACTGCTGGCAGAAATATTCTTCATGTTTCTTTATCGCCTTCGACTTTGATTATTCCTCAATCCCAACGTGTCATGAAATAGTTGGTATCCAAGTGTAACACGCAGCTCGCCCACTTTACTAGAGGGGAAATGTTGCAAACCCATGTAGAATAGAAGAACACGACACATGTATACTGGGATGTCTGATATTCATTGCAAGTAGTTGTCTAATTGATATTTCTTGTGCTTCATTACCACATAATGTGCCGACAGATTAACCAGTTTAATTTATTTTGGTAACCAAGATCCAAGTGTTACAGGATTCCGCTTGGACCTGTACCCCTGGGGCGCATAACTCTCTCTATGTGGACGTATAGTGCAAAATGCATGTTCATAAGTTTCTCGGTTTGAACCTTGAACAGTACTCAATATGTTTAACATATTGGAGGGTTACTGGTGCAAGATTTGCAGTGCACTGAATTATTCCGACAACGGCGAGAAACACGAATCAGCTCCATTCCAGCTCAATGCTGAATATTAATGCATTTGAACAGATTGGATAATAAATGTGACTTGGAATTAAATGAAGCTGTTGATGATCTGAACGACCCCCCTCCCTTCCCTGAGAGAGACAGCTCTGGAGAAAGGAAATGCGCCTGACAGATGCAATCAGATGCAAATGGCTGGAGAAGAGCTGAAATTATCATCTACAAACATTCCGCCAAAATTCCATCTGCTCCCTCCATATACATGGACAGATCGGGGAGCTGCCGCCTCTTAATAAGTTTTGGGACGGCAAATTGACACACATCTTAATCAAATCTTAATCCAAGGAATTAATTCACCGCGCGTTTATGTTTTTCCTCCTCTCTGGTGGACGAATTATAAGGTTGTGTAAAAGCAAAGCCGCGTCTCTGGTCACAGATGGAAGCACCTGATTCCAGGAACTACTGGAGACGATCACGATTTATTTCACTGTCTGCTTTTTGCTCGGCTTTTCAACCTTGGAAGTGCTGTTCTACACCATGGGCCTCCGATTTAATTTTAAAAATCTAGCCAGTGCATGTTTAAAATATTCCACCTCTCTGTTTACTCTATCCAAAGTCTTTGCAGACAATGCCCCATTGCATGTGTGTAGGCCCTCCCAAGTATGTCATCCGACGGCACTGATTCATTGCTGTTTCCGATTTACATTGGTGGTTTGTAGCCAGCAGACTGCAGTCACAATTTCAGCTCCAAATCGCTCTTATCCGGGTTTGATTCCAAGTGAAGCAGATCTCTTTACACGAGCAAGGAAGCGCATACATAGAGTTCTGTTAGCCGACCACAAATGCCAAATGTTTTCTTAAAAGGTTAAGGAGCTGGAAGTGAGTACCTCTCGCTTTCTCACAACATTAGAAACAACCTTAATGGTGATTTAGTGATTTGCAAGGAACGTTTTTAAAAAAAAGTTTAAAAATTGGCTTTGCAAACATTGGGGTTAGGCTGGAGTGAGACTGCAGTGTGTGTATTGATTTCGAACCTGAAACGACTTCCTGGAAGTGTTTTCATGAACCACACTCCAAATCGAATCGATGTCAGTTCATCTAACTCAAACAGATGTAGTAGACTTTTAGCATTGATTCAACAGACATTGTGCAGTATAACTGCAACATAAAACTTTCAGTGCGATGGTCTTTGGTTAGATGTGTTTACAATGATACAAGTGCTTTGATTGTATGGAGGTTGAAATATATGGCCCAGAATATTTGTTATATTGGTTTTTAAATCAGGACAAATATCCATCCTTTTCTTTCACCCTTATCCAGAAAACAAGAAAAACAAAATAGAAATATCATGGGAAAATGTTTCCAGTGCATTTAAGCTATTCAATCAAACATCCAATTACATGATATAATCCTTAGCTCGCAGAAAAACATAAATTTAAACAAATGAGTGGTTAAATTTAGATAGACAATCAGCAATGTCGATGATTGTTTGAAAGTTACATGATTTATTAAGATTATAATTCAAAAATCGCTTGTTATTTTGGAGGTATGCGTGAATTACTGTGCACAAACGTGCCATGCTAAAGTCACTAAGTGGTGGACTGCCTGGACAAATTGTCACCTAGTAAAATAATTAAATGTTCATCTACAGTATATGTTCAAGACATCGTCTAACAAAGAGTGAAACCCATCAGCTTAGTGATTGACTTGAGGTGGGCTCCAAATTCACTTGCTGCGTTATCCTACAATACGGGGCGCTATATAATTGCAAGTTGTTGGTGATGTTGTTAGTCCAGGTTAGCACCGTACAAGAACAGAGAACTAACTCTCAGCGTATTTAAACAAAAATATCATGGTGTTTCTTTAGTTACCTTTTGCCGTGCAATAATTTGTTAGATCATTTGTATATAGTGCCCTGTGCAATTTTTTGTTTTAAATGCCAATGATCACTAATTATAATACGCATGTTCTTCCATTGATAGGATTTTAAGTGAATATATAGAATGCGACTCAATAATACACACGTCCCAATGTATTACAGTGTTATGTGGTATAGTTGTGTTTATTCTGAATAAAGGTAAAATAAAGTTTCACCTATAAACAAACCCATGCTTCCTTCCACTTACAACTGCAACACGATTACAGAGTACTCTAAGCAGTATTTTAGTTTTCGAAACGGGCCTGTACTCACATGAAAATATTCACATCACAACCATAACCTGGTATATTAAAAACAATAAGCCGTGTCCTTGCTAAAATCCTGCATCTGCGCAGATATTTTGCTGTTAGAAAAAAAAGAGAAGTCTTTGTTTAGACGAGATGTGGTGAAATGAATTCAAATGGATGTGAATTGTTTTACAGCTCAGGCTCCTCGGATGGAATATAATCTGTCGAACGGGGTTTTGACCGATTCGGACGCTCCGGACCACAGTCCTATGACTCTGTCAGACTCCGGGACCCCACAACGAGAGAAGATCTGCAAAACACAACACGAGAGTAGCGGTGAGTTGATTCGCTTCTAAATTGAAATGGCAGTGCACTCACTCACTGCATGGTCTGGTGAGGAGGGGACAGAGGTAATATGGACAATTAGATGATGTAAAGAATTAGGTTGTAAAGAGACACACATTTGACTGATCTTGTAGAAAGTTGACTGGTTAAAGCCACACATATAAGAAAAAAGCAGGGAGAACGATGATCAAGAGAAAAATGGGAAAAATGAGCAGATGAGGAAAGGCAGTTTCTATCAATGAAATCCAACGTGGCGAGCTCCAGTAACCTCAGCGACCTCCAGCGGCTGGTTAGTGAATCAGGGCTGCAAGGAGGCTTGTCTTTATTGTTGTGCAACTTTTATCGGTCCATATTTCGCTGCTGATGTTTGCAAAATGAAGAGAAATAAATAATCAAGGGGCATCGTTTTTCAAAATACTCTCAGTGAGCATCCACTCTGGCCAACAAGATTGCAAACGGTAAGTTCAAGCATGTTAAAAAGGTTACGTGACAGAATGTTGAGTTTGTAAAATGAATTTCAATACAATACATGAGGATTGTTTTTTCTGTTGGCCAGGGCAATCTCAGACTGAGGTCATACTCATGTCGGTATATATCAGAGTTAAGAATTAGGTCAAAATATGTTCGATTATTTCTGAGGAATCCTATACATAGCCATTATTGCCAGAGAGTCTTTATAAAACATGATAAACGATTTTGAAAGAGTTGCCAATTTACAAATCTTGTATGAAATAAAATGAAACTTTGAAATACCACGGTAAATACAAATATTCACTCTTTTCGTTGAGTAACTGGATCGTGATGTTCAATTTGCTCAGAAACTATACATCCTGTAATCTTCCGCACATTTTCTTGGTAATGGAGGATGGGAAGTCGTGTTAACAGTTCAACAATTTTGTCATTGAAGTATTTTGTTTGGCAGTTTTCTGAAGGTTGCAGAAAGTTAGTATCTCACTTGCCATTTCGTGTTTTTTTTTATTTTAAAGCTGAGAATATTTTAAAGATGAAAATACATACTTATGATGTCATTTACGGATATATACATCGCTGTTGTAAATACCATACATATATTATATACATATATGTCTTCATATCACATATTTTCACCTAATGATCGTTGTATCATGTATAGGATCAATATGGCGCAATTATACTCATGATATAAAGAGAAACTTATTTGTGAGAATTAGGTTTTAAAGATATCCATTCATGGACAGATGAGTGTGCAGCCAGAATGTCTTTTGTTTGTGTAAATATCCATTAAACCCTCGGTAGGGAGAGATGCAAACACATATTAGCACTTATTTGTCTTTCCACCCTATTGTTTAGGAACCTAGTTAAAAACATAAATATTTTAATCTCGAGTCTGACAATACATCCGGGATCCAACATTTTTTTCTGATGAAATAAAACTGTAGCAAAAATTGAAGGATTTTCCGTAAATTTTCTTTCAACCACAAGTTAAATCATGGGTGGTGCAAAAGGACATGTTATAAGCTTGATGTGGGATCTGTCAAGCGTAATTCTGAACTTGCTTTTTTTTAAGTTATTTTTTACTTCATTCATACGCGAACAACGTGATTGAATTACATTTATTTAATACCTGCTGGTAATTCCCAGAGATTCATAAAGATTTTCCGATTAAATTTGGCAGGGGAGATTTCCCGGAAGTTCATTATATGTCCACGTACACAAGTGTGGGGGCTTAAACGGGTGTCAAATGCAAATCATCCAGCTATACTTAAACCAAAGCGTAAACAATTACAAAGAAGAACCTTTGCTTTCGTACTTGTGATGATATTTCTGAAACATTTTGAAAATATTCATCTCGAGTTTTACTTTTTAAGCATATGAAGAGCGTTTCTATTTAAATAATTGAGAACTTCTGAACCACTGACAAAAGTCCAAACTGGTAACTTGAGTACGACTCTGGTCATAGTGAAGCAAAAGACAGCCCTCGCTCCAAAACAGAGATAGATTTGCATTTCGATCCTATAGCAATACTTACGTGTATTTTATAGGATTCATCAAACATCTGGGGAGATACAGATGTAAAATAAAAGATGTACGCTCTCAACAACATAAAACCCGATATACATTTCAAACATGATGTCCTTTAAGTATTAAGGCCAAACTTAACGCCCTTTCCTACATCCCCTTGTATCTTGTCTGTATATTCCAGATTGCTTACAGGGTCGAAGTTTGCAGTCTTCCTTTGTAAGTGGTCTCTCGAGTTTTCAAATGGATTAGCAAAAATTGCGAAGACCATAAAATGTACATTTCAACAAAGATTTAATCAGAACAGGTCATTTCCGGCAGTAAAATCCGTAAACCACAAATTTTAGATTTTGTTTTCTCACCCCGGCGTTTGGACGTGAGGTGAGAAGAAAGGCGCAGATCCTACAGTTCTCGGCTTAGAAAGCAGGGTTTTTAATTGAATTGGAGGGAGTTGATTAAAAAGGGATTGGCGGTGCCCTGATCTGGCACGCAATGGGTTCTCTGTTTGAAAACCATCAAAATATTTACTTTCCAAAAGCTAATCTTTCACTGACAGATCAGTCACATCTTTATTTGGTGGAGGTCTGGGTACAAAAAAAAAGGGAGGCTGATCCAGTCAAAGAAAACTGAACGTTGAAAACAAGTAGTGTGGAATTGAGATCGTCGTTTCCATGTGTTAGTAATTTTTTGTTTGGGATTGTTACAGCGAAATGGCACCGGCATTGACTATTATTTTTGTTGGAAATTGTCGATGACCCTAATACTATTGCACTTGTACGTGGAACTTGATTGCGTTGGAAAATCTCTATTCGAATTTTTGCATTCAAATACCTTCGCGTTTCCTGTGCTGCGTTAGCAACATTTTGTCTCTTTGGATTTAGAATTATATTATTTGGAAACCGTGGCGATGTTGTTTGATTTCATGCTGCAGGGAAAGCAAGATAACTTTCTAAAAAATCTGAGTCAATGTGTATTTTCAAAGCAGTAATTGATTATAGTGCAAACATTAGTTCACTAAGTGACCTATATTTCAGATATTTCAGAAATAACCAATTTGATTTTCGACTTGAAAACGACTTGGAATTGAAATCTGTGCATAAAAATAATATGGTCTAATTTGCATCTTTGAAATGCACCATCTCTCCATCTTACTCAAAACTTACAAATTGAGTTACTTTTTCAGCTAAGGGAATAGTGTATTTATCGCTGCTGAAATGGCGCGTGAAATTGTCAGGCGATATATATTTATTGTTTTTTAAAATCGGAAACGTTTTCAGTAAGAGTTACGTGAACACAACAATAAAATATTGTAAGTAAAAAAAATCAGATCTAAAGAAATCGAATAGAATCAATTAACATTTTGATTATTTTTTTTAATGTTCGGCATCAGACAATGCATTTGGATAGGTCTCAATTAACAGACATGTTTGATTACCAATTCTAACTCCTACTGAATCTGAATAAAATACTCTTGTGTGATATATATTAGCTCTTGTTAAGTTCACATTGTTTCCTGAAACAAAAATATGTGGCTATTTAATGCACATAGCACACATAGCAGCAAAATGAAGAGTGGAGGACTGGTTGGAAGTATACATCCATTAATTCGGCTAGACGCTATCGGACCAAACTAAAATAAATATTGATAATTTCTCCCTTATATGCCGTGGATGGATTAAATAAATTAAAATGCATTTGGGGGCATAATCATTATGAAAATTCGGCTCACTAACCGGTTCTGTTTCTCTTGGGAAACAAGCTCTATAATCAGAAAATTATATTGCATGATGCTAGTTTTAAAATGGACATGCCTCGATCACCTAAATGTGTTTTGCTATGTTTATTGGCTATAATTCGTCGAACCCCCATACATGGTGGACATTGACATACATGGACAAAACCAGAGAAGCACAACGAGAGACCTTTAACCATGCTTTCATTTTCCAGTTATTATTTAAAGCTTACTAAAGTAAGACATAAATAAATATTGGTGATATTAACGTTGGCCCTTGTAGTTTTATTTTCAATGCAATAAGAAGATAATGGAACCTTTCCCATGTGCAACTCGGCCCCTGTGATTCACAGACAAATAACATAAATTCTAAATTGTGGATTTTCTGAAGCAATTTGTTGCGCGGTGTTTTAACCGGTAAACGTTGACATGCTGATTTTATCAGTCACAGAATCAATTGCATTGAAATAGTATTATACATTTTAACCAAGTGTGTCATGTTTCTCACGCTCCTTACTGTTGTGAACAACCACCTTGGGGAGATTGGTACGTGGATACTTTTAATCGAATTAAAATAACCGTCAATTTATGAACAAATGCCAGAGCTGTCCCCAGGGCGAGTTTACTGTGAGCCAAACAGTATCATATATTGAACAATAAGACATTTCATTCTCACTTTCAAATAATCAATGTCTTGGGCAAACCCACAGTTCGGAGCCTTTTTAAAACAACCCCATCCACCCTCACCTCACGCCACTCACACGAAAACATATACACAGACACACAAAGCAGATACTAAGTGCAACCTCAAGCATATTTATTAACTCGTTGGTTGCTAAAGACTGAGATTGGATTTCCTCTAAGGATATTAATATGCGCTCTAAGCTTTCTGTTTCTTTCATCTGAACTCTGTTAACTCCACACAAGTTTTAAATTGGAGCAGTAAATAATACTTAAAATGATTGCAGCGTTAATACAGTTGACTTGTTCAAATCGGAAGAAAATCTTGGACAATGGATAATGAGAGAAATTGAAAACAGATTTTTTTTTTAAAAAAGAAAGCAGTTGTATAGATGGAAGCGTCGCGGCCGTTTTCACCTGTACATTTTTACGTGACACCAAGAGGACTTTCACATCGTAAACCAATATCTACTAGGCGTTTTAGCACCTTTTTGCTGATATGACATGGCATTCTGATGCCATAAAATCCGCTTGCTTAACAAGGATTAAATTTTAACCAGAAAATCCTTAACCGATCGACTGCAAGAGTAGTGTCTGTGAATTGCGGCCACTTTGCCTCTGGTTGTTGACATTCCTGGCAGTGATAAAACCCCATTTTCTATTTTATTTTCGCCACATATCGGTGACCTTTAATCACAATTCGAAAAACACCCAAATATACCAACCGCGCAAATACAAACACATAAACTCGGGTACATCATCTTCCCATTCTGATCACATGGTATATTTTCAATGATTTATTTCCTTATGTGCAGAAATGATTTATTTCCTTATGTGCTGGTATTATTTCTCATCGATATTTAACACTTGAGGAGGCACTTACCATAAGATTTATAACCAAGGATCGTGAGGAAAAGCATTTCATTCCCGAACCTACAATAAACTTTTGATATACTGTAGTCATCACTTGAGAAATAGAAAAAAACCAATAACATGTCACGCCTGTTAAATCTCATCTGTGTAAACCACACCAGTGAGAGCAGTTAGACCAGATTTTCATTATGTGCTCTATTTTATATATAATGATAGTTTTTTTTGCTTACCCAGTGTACTTTTCCAGGGACCTAATACTAATACTGCCTATCAAATAATAAGTCAGACTTTTATATGAAATAATTTCTGCAAGAAATATGATCAAGATGGAACCAGTACAGTAATTGCAAACATTTTACACTCCTTATTTTGCATAATGTGTTAAAGACATAACCACTCAGGAATACAGTGCTTCACTCCAACACCTCCCCCCCACCACCACCCCTCCCCCACCCTCTCCCCTACCCCTCCCCCACTCCCACCCCAACGAACTACGCAATTTTGGCAAATCAACATTTTAAACTAACCCACTCAAACAGTGAAGAAGCACACCAGGTGGCAAGTACATGGAAGAAAGATTAAACCGTGATATGTTAGAACCTTTAAAAACTCAACTCACAATATACATCTTTTTGAAATCTAATCGGGGTTGGACGCATTTTGTTTCGTCCCATTCATCTCCAGTTAATCCCTCCCAGATTTGAAAATAAGATCCTGGGTGCTTTGGTTATTCTGAATTGTCTGCCTTTGTCTGTTGCGGATGCTCTGTCTCTCTCTCTCTCTCTCTGAGGATGCTTGGGGTTTCTGACAACCATCCTGTGTCAGTTTACAACCTGCATCACAGGCAAATCGCTTTGACGTTATTGGCCTTAAAACAAGGAGGGTCTGAAGGTTCACCCATTCCATATTTATAACTGCCCCAAAAGCTCAGCCTCCAACAAACAAGAGTTAAAGAGAAGGCGGCGACCTATCCCTATCTGATACCAACCCTTGTCAGCGAGTGTGATCCAGGGATTTACTTGGAACGAAATTGATGCCCTCTGTGCGGTCTCAGGACTCGGGAGAGGTTTACTGGCTGAGAAAAGATAGCACACAAGACGCGTTTTAAGACATATTGAAAGCCAAACCGTTTGGGTTGTGGCGAAACTCGATTTGGGATTATATAACTCGAGATTTGGTTTGCAATGTCATCAAATCTTCATTCGGTTCGAGTCCTGACAGGACACCATCATTCTATTGATCAACTGAGGAATCTCTCCGAGACCTCAAGTAATCAATATACAGGTAGGGAAAATAGCTCCTGGATGGGAAACAATCTATTTCGTACAAGGACACAAGATCGAGTCAGAATGTTACAAATGAAGGTTGTATTTACTATTGTTCTCTCTCTTCCCATATATTTGTTATTAAAAGCCACAACTGAAAAAGAAAAGGCGGAGGTGAAAAAATGAAATATTGTTTACCCTTCGTTAATCTACTTTAAATCGACATTTGAAATGATGCCATGAGAAACATAAAGGGGTTCTACAGACCCATTGATTCTCGCCTGAATGTGGGATGAACATAGTCGAAAACACAAAGTGAAAAGTAAAAGTTAAAAGAGAGATGAAGTACTGAACAGATTAGTTTTGTTTCTAACATATTTCTCTTTCTGGCTTGAATTCAGCCCATTCGTTGAACTCGAAAGACAAGATATGAAAGTCATTCTCGCCTTGATTCATCCTATCATTGCATGATCAACTCGCGTTACACGTCATTTTGCAATGCTTCTGAAAGTTTGTTAGCGAAAATAATGCGAATTTTGCAAGACCTGTATATCCGTTGACACAGAAAATATCTGGATTATATTAGAAATAATCGATTTAGTATACTGGATGAACAAAATAGAGGATTAATTTTGGTGACATCATTGAAGCGCGCTGATTATATTTATTTATAATAACGATTTTTATAATAACAGATTCGTATTTCTGTCATTTCATTTCGGTTGATAACTTGAATAACTTTGGAATTTGCTCGGTTTTAAAGCTGAAGGTTGAGGAATAGGTGTTAGATTAAATTGGGGCGTCGTGTTTCTATTTGCAGACAATGAAAAATCTCAGCAAATTCAGACTGACGATTCTGATTCAAAAGATCCCTCCATCAAGAAAAANCAGAGGCGCCAAAGGACACATTTCACAAGTCAACAACTTCAGGAACTGGAGGCAACTTTTCAAAGAAACCGATATCCTGACATGTCAACCAGGGAGGAGATCGCTGTTTGGACAAATCTAACTGAGGCACGAGTGAGGGTAAAATGCTGTTTTCCATTAATCATTCTCTTTTTTAGTATTGGAATGGAAATTGGTAATCGATTTAATTAAAATTATAATAACTATTTAATTGCTCAGTTTCTCTATGACTCATTTGATGGATTCATTGGCAATCCTGCAAAACGGAAACACACACAGAACAGCCCAACAGAATTTTAATAACCCAATCTTTACATTTATCTTCATTACTTAATATGCATTTGCAGATCTTGTATGAAGTGTAGAATTGCTCGAAGAAACCAGTGTTTAATGATCGTCAAATATTCGATATGTTTATGGTCCAGACAGTTAAACTTAACACTTTTACACATCTCATACTCCTTGATACATTAATGCGTGAAAAGTTATATTTTTGGACAGTGCATTTAATTGTGATACTATTGTAGCGTGAGTTATTAAAGTGACTGTTAAATGAGTATTACACCCTGGGCGTTTCTTGTCAGCAGTTGGGTATGAAATAAGCAATTTAATGATGGAATTCCATTAATAACGGTGTATTTTAAATAAGAGGACAACCAAGTTCAGAGTAAAGTTTTCGATGTATTGTTGTAGTGTATTCTAAACATTACGACCAATACCATGAAGCAATATTACCCTTATAAATACAGACGGTCAAATATTTGGAATTGTACACCTGTGACAACCCAACATTACTTAAGTGAATGTTTTCCTCACTTTGCTATTTTGATGAACACTTTATAAGCAAAAATCATGCATTGATCAAAATTATGTAAACTGAATTTCACAGGCTCATTTTTTTAAAGTTGCTTTTCATTTAGCATAGCGTAATTTGTGCAAATTGAGTTATGTTTACTGTGATTATTTACGGTGTATATTATGTTCGCATACTTATGGCTACATTTATGAACTTGAAATCATATATGTCCATGAATTGGAAGCAATACGTTTTTCTCGAGAAGGGAAACTTACATGAATTGAAATGATTCAATTTGACCAATTAATTGCTTATGACATTAAAGCAGTATGTTATGTAAATGTGTTGTATATGCATAAAGCAAGCTACAGTTTAAAATATTTCTTTTGTGATCCAGGTATGGTTTAAAAATCGCAGGGCAAAATGGAGGAAAAGGGAACGGAACCAACAAGCAGAGCTGTGTAAAAATGGCTTTGGGGCACAGTTCAACGGACTCATGCAACCCTACGATGACATGTATTCAGGTTACTCCTACAACAACTGGGCGACCAAAAACTTGACGACGAGCCCTTTATCAGCCAAGAGCTTTCCATTCTTCAACTCCATGAACGTCAGCCCCTTGTCCTCGCAGCCCATGTTCACACCCCCCAGCTCCATCACCTCCATGACCATGCCGACCTCCATGGTCCCATCAGCTGTGACCGGAGTGCCAGGCTCCAATCTGAATAATTTAAGCAATCTGAACAACCTCAACAACCCTTCACTCAATTCTGCCGTGCCAGCCAACACTTGCCCCTATGCATCCTCTGCAGGTCCTTACATGTACAGGGACACATGTAATTCCAGCCTGGCCAGTCTAAGGCTTAAAGCCAAGCAACACGCAAATTTTGGCTACCCAGCAGTTCAGAACCCAGTTTCCAACCTGAGTCCGTGTCAATATGCTGTGGATAGACCTGTATGAACCCAATGTTTTCTAAAAAAAATCTGTTTAACCCCAAATATATAACCTTTCACCCATCAATGTATATCACCAGTCCTTAACAGCGCTGGCTAAAATGTTACACGTTCCGTTGAGAAGATAAATTTCCTTTTTTTCCTTCATGAGGACGGGTTTAGAATGCTTTCATTGAGGAGTGTTGTTATCTATGTAATAAGATAACTATTGCAAATAATTATTTGCAATGCAAGTTGATATACAATTCGAAATATGCATGACCATTACAACTCTGGCTTATAGGGGACCTACCGGTTGTAATGCAGGATATGATGTATATAATGAACTTTTTTGTTTTCTTTTTGTATGTGATATAATAATCTATAAAGTAGTACTTTGAAAAGTAAAAGGCATGTCCTCCAACAGCTGATCTACGATCACTTACGCCATGAGTAAATATAGATTAGAAATGTAAAGGCTAACCTGCTGTGGATTATTTCAATAATGCAAACACATGCACGCGAATGTCTCTGTTATCCCTGCACCCCAATAATCAAACAAAAGCTGATTTTTTTTTCTTTTGAATATACCTTTCCAGAATTTGGTTCAGCAGAACACTAAATTTATTTACCTGAATTATAAGACATATATGTACAGTTTTCCTTTACACCCCATTTTTTGCAGTGTATCTTGTGATCTTAGATTTGCTGCAGCAAGTAATATATTATTTCCTGTGGGTTTTTAATTTGTTGCGTTCTTAATATTTGTAACTGTTTGACTCCTTGCTTGAAGCTGACGGCAATGCCATTTCTAATTTCTGATTCTAATCTATACAGTGCGCAATATTCTCCAAGAAGGCCAAAGTTTATGGACAAGAAAGCTTGATTTGCACTCTGGCTAATGCTTAATAAACAGATTCTACAATTTCTGCGTATGTTATCTTATTATAGAAAGTCAGTGGGACGTGGTCACAGTGTTGCTTTAACTTTTACAAAACTTTCAAATACTTTTAGAATATACTCATTCTTCTACACCCATATATTGTAACTCCAACCCCTTAAATTATGATTCTGGAAATATTTTTTGCATCATTAACACCTCTTTAACCCATCATCCCCTGTCCTCTACCCCATTTTCTCCTTTGTCTTCCTTACCCTGCCTCCTCCCCTCTCTGTTAGCCCTTAAAAGCCTCTCCCTCCCAACATGCCCCAGTTCTGGCAAAAGGTCGTGAATCCAAAACGTTGACTCACTTTCCTTTCCCCATAGAAGCTACCTGACCTACTGAATGTTCCCAGTGACTTATGTTTTTGTCCCTTAAATTATGATCCTGGTTCAAAGCATTTCTTAAATTCCTTAACTTTTTCTGAAAGTGGAATATATTTGTTAGTAAAGGATTATTTTGTTTTGTGCAAAACATCAATCGCTAGCAAGGATTTACACCTCACAACTTTTCCATACATGGTCCAACATATATGTCATAAGGACTGGTGATGTGCATGGGCTATGCATGGTCATAATATTGGCAGAAAAACACCCAACAGGGGACCACTTCCCAATCAAATAACTGGAATCACATCTAAAGGATAATATATGTGACTGGTTCGCTCTATAGATTTGTTCTTTCCACTTTGTTGCCTGAATATAGTTTTTCTAAAATACTGATTTAAAAACAGCAGAATCCTGTGGACATGAGCACCTGAACATTCATACATTCGAATGTCAGTGTGTGTGTCTATATGTGTGTGTTGGGACATCGACTAAGAGTTATACTCAAATGTGCAAAGCTGAGAAACAACTCTCTCCCAACCCAACCCAAATGATGCAAGTGACCAGTACTATTCTCACCTCTCAGGAATAGTGCCAGATCAAGTCGAACTGGTACTGGTTGTATGGTTGAGACATTAGACTATACATTTGATTTGTAATTGTTGCCTTCCCACTGAAGAGAAGTTTTCAGAGACGCACAGGTCGTTAAACAAACAATTGTGTAGAGGCAAACCATTGAGCACCACTAACACAAATGCAGAGGAGTAAAAAGATAAAATGAACACAAATGCAAGTTATGTAATTATGACCCTAAGTATACTGACCTATTTGAAAGAAAGTAAGGAAAATAAGAAACCTTCGGACCATTAACATACAAGACCAAGAAACCAAGTACAAATAACATTCTACAACAACAACTTGTATTTGTATTGTGCTTTCACATCTGGTGGACATCCCAAGGTACTTGTGAACTGCATTATCAAAACAGGCAATATTACAGGAACATTTCCATTTAAGTATACTAAATGACTATATTGTTAGGTTGTAGTTCTGCTTTCCTGAGTCCTACTGGGGTAAATATTCACAAGCAGAATAAGTTGTCAATTATATACTTGGTTGGCGTCAAAGCAAGTTACATTTGTATTAACTTATATCCGTTGCAGGTGGTTTATAATGAATAAATATCTGTTGGATGGTAAAATAGGAATACATTCTCCCGGTAATCAACAAGATTATTTCTTGATGGCCTGGCTATACTTTTATCACAAATCCCATCACACGCCAAGGACATAGAGTGCTGGAGTAGCTACCATTGACACTGACAGCTGCGACTGGCATCAAAACCCAGCCAAAAATGAATATTCCCCACCCACAAGCACACGTACGTTTGACACTATATATGGTAAATTGTGAACAACAGATATCTGGCTGTGATAACAAAACTTTCTTGGGCAAGTTTCCTTACTCCACACGCCTAATAATAATCCCTCCAAAACAATAATAAATTGGTCATTTTCAATCTACGACTGTTTGTGGGACATTGCTGTGCGCAATTGGCTGCCGCGTTCGCCCACAAATATACAGTCAATTCACTTTACAGTATATTCTGTGAAGCACTTTGCAACATCTGGAAGACGTGAAAAGTGCTATATCAAATGCAAGGATTATTATTATTAATCCCATCTCAGGGGTTCAGATGCAGTTGTACACCTCTGATACTTTGCTCCTGTTATTCATGACATCATCTGAACACTTCATTAGATTGCTGCTTTATATTGCTCACACATTTCTATTATGAGCTCTTTCTCTCTCTCTCAAGCCTGAAGTATTTTTAGTTAAACAATATCACACATTGTATTTCTGTTTGGTTCATGAAACATTTAGTAATCCTTTGATAATCCTTTGTGAAGTTTGTAATACTTCAAAAATCACTATTTAAACAATTGGAGAAAGTTAAATTAAATTCTCATATAAAAAAAACTAAGTTGAACACAATACCAAAAGTCATATTTACTTAAAATCTCCAGCATTGATTGAATTTTCAATTCAGTGACTAAAGATCACTCTGTGTAACTGAATACTTTAATTACAACATTGATACCAGTAAGATTCCATTTCTGACAGTGTTTAAGCAAGAAGCTTTGGATTGGAAAAAGTGATAGAAAACTGCAGATTGTTGGAAATCTGCAACAAAAATATAATGGCTGGACCATTTTTACTGCCAGAAAACAAAGCTGTGCATGGAATGCAGAGGCAAAAAGCTCTGTTCATCAGCCTCCATCAGTCACTGTAATTTCTATCATTAGTAACTTGAAGACGTTTCGGTGGACCACATCGTTTTAAACTTTCATCTTTAGTTTCACTGCAGCTGATACACAATACTTCTCTCAGTGGTCTTGCCCACAAGTAAAACTCCTTAAGTGCTTTATGTTTAGTTAGGGTTAAACTGAAATTATACACTACATTGTCAAAAACATTTGCAGTGTAGAAGATGTTATGTAATAATGTTTTTAACCTCATCAATATTCATTTGTTTATTGATTTGAGACCTCACTTTAAGGTGTCACCTCTTCCTCATCCCATCTATATCTGATTTCATTGCATCCAGGCTTGACCATGCCAACTCCCTGTGAACTGGACTTCCCAACTCTTCCCTCCACAAAATGCAGATCATTTAGAACTTTCCAGCTTATGGCCTCTCCCACACAAAGCTCTATGAGCCTATCACTCCCATTCTTGCCCGGCTTCACTGGCTCTCCATCCCCCAGAGGATCGAGGTCAAGATCTTTATCCTCATCTTTAAAGCCCTCCACAGTCTTGCTCCTCCCTACCTCTCTGCATTTTACTAAAACTTCACTAACTTGTCTGCTCCCTCTGCTTGTTAGCCATTGGCCTGCTCCATGTCCCCCGCCCATTCCACCATCAGAGGTCGGGTCTTCAGCCTTTCAGGCCCCACCCTCATGAACTCCATCCAGGAGCCCCTCCACCTCGACCCTTCCCTTGCCTCCTTCCATGCCTATCTCAAGACCTTCCTCTTTGATCATGCCTTCGGTCATCTTCCTATCTCCACCCCCTTCCCCTCCATCCTGCTTAACTCCAGCCCCCAACTCGGGTGCAAACCCTTCACTATCCCGTGCCTCAAAACATGAAGGCACTATATAAATGCAATTTGTTGTTGTTGTTTATTTACCAACAGTGATTTCATTGATATGAGCATGTAGGGTAGGTTGTTACTGATTATCAGGAATATCACTTCACTCGACATATTCAATACTAAGAATAATTGCATATGTTGTATTCTTAAATAGGGAAGACACGTTTTAAAATATTGAATCATTTTTTTGTAAATGCTTTCTTTGACCAAATTTCTATGAGGAGGGTGTGAAAAAAAAGTCCATTTTTGTCCATTCATAAATGGAAAACAAGCAAATGGAACTGGTAACAAAAAATTCCACAAAACGTTGAAACATATGGTGATTCATATCTTGGCAATCTCTTTGGACCCTGTTATAGAATTTTTTTTGTGCCCTCCTGATTGAAATGTATTGGGAGAGGGGTTCTCTCCTGATTCCTGAGTACAGTATCAAATAACAAAATTGCTTAGCAAAAAAAATAGTAACTGGATTTTACAGAAAACAATACAAGCGGCACATGGAACAGATTGGATGATCGCTAGACTCACCGCAGAAAATTGGGAATTCTAACCATGTATTATTTTGGGGTTTTATGCAATAACGCCACCATAATCTTCAAAGGGTTGAAGTAAAACCTTAATGTGGGACATCGCTACTGCAGGGTTTAATCAACGAGTGGCTTCGCATTTAATACATTCAAAAGCCACAGTTGAAAAAGAAGTTTCACTGATGTTAGAAAGTTAATATTTAAAGCAATTTTAAGGATATCCTGCTGGGTGCAGCTCAATGTGACAACAGTGATTAGATAAACCTTGGAAAAACATTGATATTCATTGCTTACCGCAATAAAATATGGTAATAAATATTGTCAGTAACAATATAGGGTAACAGTGTAGTGGACGGCTAATGCATTATAAATGTTTTTTTGCTTTGATTGCAGATAGTATGTGGGTGGCAAGGCCACTTTTGTTGGGAAATTGGATATCCTAACATGTTTTCAAGAAAACGTGTATTACAAAAATGATAGATTTGCAGCTATCAGTCAATTTGAACACGGCAGCGTTATGTCAGCATTTAGATTCACACGAAAACCAAAGTTGACAATGTATTTTCAAAGAATCTCGTGTTCAACCAGAGCAAACGGGTTGCTCATTTTCAGAGATTTTGTGAAAAAGTAACCAATTAATTGCGCGACTCACTGCAAAATAAATAAGAATCACCTTCCATCATTTCAATGGGTGTATAATCGGTTTGACTTTGCTTTACTTCATAACATTTTGCTATTGGCAATGGCCTAATCCTAACCTTCGTGTGCGCTGTAGCGTTGCCTCATTCTCTTTGCGTGTGTAGCTCGTTGATCTTTCAATATGATCAAAAACATCAGCAAAACAGTGCCTTTCAACTTCACATGCATTGCTCTGATTTGAAATGGCCCTAATAGAATTATTACTGGTCGACGCCAGCCTAATAAATTTGACAGTGCACCATCTAATTCCACTCTTCCACACACACACACACACAACTACAT